AGATATATAATAATATGCATGTTCTTTTACCAAAAATGCAACTGCTATTCATATTTATAGTGATCATATATATTCACATTATATATACACTGTGTGTGTATGTGTGCATCCACACTTACATTTCTTAATGATATAGCAAAAGCATCCTTTTATGTCAATACTATGGCTCTGTCATTAGTGGTGTTGTATAATCATTATTGCTCATTCATTTAAATAACTATCTAGCATTTTTTTTTGCTATCCCAACAATACTGCAGCCAACATACCTAAAAATATAGCATTCTGCACTTAAAATACAGTAAGAATTTTTTGTAGTTTAATTTCTAGAAGTGGAATTAATCATCAGTGATATGAGCATTTAAAATTGTAACAGATGTCACAAATGAACCTCCACAAACTTTGAACCAATTCAATACATTTCCAATAGTGTAAAGTTGTATCCTTTCCCACACCTTCACCAGACTGGATGCTACCAATCTCTAATATTTTTGCTAATCAAAGGTGGAGTCCTATTAAACTGGAACTTAGTTTGTTCTTTGTTCTAGTTTCTTAGGTAGCTATGAAACTTTTTATAGTATATTAGTGAGAGTAACAATAAACTTACTACATAAAGCCACAGGAAAATAAGCTTCAAATTTTTATTATTGTTTAGCTTATGTATCCTTGAGAGTGTTTTACATGAAATATTTGTGCATTATGAAATTCGCTATTACTTTTCTTTTTCATAACACTGATAATACTGAAGTTCTATAAAAATAATCTTGGTTTTGGAAGCAATCTTACTGAAATTTAAAAAAATTGTATCTGAAAATGTTTAATACTTAACCATTTTTCTCTTTTTAGTGAAGAATGAAAGAGAGCAATCTTCCCTTTTAAAAAAGAAGCACTATAAGATATATATGATTAATATCACTTTGATACTTATGTACTATTTATTGACTTGTTTTTGCTTTTGTTTTAAAACTGATCTAGCATTTTCAGTCCTTTTCTCATGTCCTGGCATGTCAATTTAATTTTTATCCTTTAAAAAATTAAAGCTGCTGCATAAAAGAGAGAGAGACAGAGAGGTGGAGGACGATGCTGCATTGACATTTTATTGGCCTGTCTAAGATGACTTAATCACACATCCATGTGAGGAATTGCTAGCACTAATATGAACTGAACCCCAGAAACAATGTGACATGGGTTAAATACATTTTCACACAAGCCACTGACCGTGTTGCCGAGATGACTTCTGCTTTGCAAATTGGCTGGAACTAGCCAAGTTTTGTACAGAAATTCATTGCCCTGGGACTACCTGTTCTGTCCATAGCCCATGTGGAGGGAAATGGCTGTAGGCAGATTCTTAGGCATAGGAAGCCTCCTCCTGTACCCAAGTCATTCCCACCCGGCTTTACGAGGATCTACCAGGGAGATGGGTTACCCTGATCGCTACTATAGACTGGCCAGTTCCATGAGTTAAATGGACTTGCAACTTCCAGATGGAAAATGGCGAGTAGGTTGAACTTGTGTCCTCTGGTGGCTTTATACATCCCTACTCTAACCCATCCCATCCTCCACCAACCCTTCCACTAGCCCCTGAAATCCTGCCCTGGGGTTAGCAAGCACCCTCAAATGGCCCATCGTCTGTTGATAGTTATTTTTATATTCTTTGCCATGGTTGAAACCTGGCTGTTCTCGGAGACACCACTTCTCCTTTCACCCTCTCAGGAGGAAGGTGTTTTGTTCTCTTCAACTCCGCAGTTGCGCGGTCTTGAGGTGGGATCAGGGTCCTCCTTGCACCCACTTCTTCTTCCTCATTCCTCCCCCGGCTCTTGCACTGCATAGTTTCTTGCACACTCACACCCTCTCCTTGTTGCTGAGATCTCCTGACTTCCTGACCACTCCGTCCAGCCTGGAAGACCTAAGCTCTGCCTCCGTTTTCCCCTTCACCCTAACCACCCTCAGTAGTCCCAACCTGCGTGTGAGGAATCATCCAGCGCGCGGGTCTCTCCCCCCACCCCACTGTCTCAGCTACGCCTCCCAGGGTCACACGCCTGATCCTCTCGTCAACAGAAGCCACTCATCGGTGACACTTCGGCTTCGACTCCCACTCCCTGGCTACCCCCCCCCCATTCCAGATCTCATGCTCCAGAAGAGCCCCACCTCTCCCACCACCAACCTCTGACCTCATCCTGCAGTCACCCATTTCTTACCATCCCTTGGTCTCCCCTGACTTTGCTTCTGCTGCCTCCTAGATTTCATGCACAGTCCTTGTAAAGAGCTCCTGGTAAATCCCCTCAACTCCTGCATTCATATCCCCCCAACCATGCTCCTGAGCCCACACCAGCACCACACCTCCCTTCTCTGAGCTATCCCCAAGCAGCTGTGTGACGCCAGAGAAACTAGTCACACAACTGAAACGATGAGTTTCATGTCACCGCCTCAGTCCAAGGACCAGTGGGCTTGCCCAGAGAGCTGGCCGGCTTCTTCTTACAGGTGCGCTCTTCCACTCACTGAGGGAATAACTTCTCCCCCCTGTCGCTCCCACACACCCTCCTCCACCTGCAGAAGTTTCAGCGGCTGACCCTGCCTCATACTTGAGAAAAATAGAACCAAACTGCCAACTCTCACTACCCATGCTCAAACCCACAGTATCTGTACCCATTTCCTCCTTTTTTACATGTATTTTTTAAAGACATGCAAATTTATTAAGGCGTCTCCTTCTTTTTCCGCTGCTGGGGTAGAGGGAGTGTCCTCAGCTTAATAAAACCATCCTCCTCTTAGGCTTGGAATCCCATTCCATGGATCCATCTCTGCCTTCTGAAGGACCCCTGCCTTCTTAGTTATGTTCTTTCCACAACAAAATCAATCTCCTCCATCCTTCCTAAATCATTCCCATCAGCAAGCAAACATGCTAAAGCACCTACATTCCCCAGATGGGCCAATCTGGACCCCCTCCTGCCAGTGTCCACACCATTGCTCTATCCTCTGCTCATAGCCAAACTGCCCAAGAGTCATTCATACACGATAGTTCCGAGTCCTCACTTCTCCTTACTGCTTTTTTATTTACTAGAGTATGTTATTCTAGAACTTTTTAAAATACAGAGAAATAATTGGATAGTCATCTACATATGTATTTTCAATAAATTTAAAGGATAAACATAAAAAGCATAGCAGAGGTGGCCACCCTGGTGGGGACAGTAGAGTACAAGTAGAAGTGTGAGACCCAGAGGAGTTCGGGTCACCTCTTGCTCTCAATACCCTCTACCCTGGCCCCCACTCCCACCATTTAACAAAAACTTCTCCTAATATCATCAGTTAATGGACTCTACGTTTCTAAATCCTTTTTTATCCAATCTCTTAGCATTTGCCATAGCTGACCACTCATTCCCTGCCCATGTTTCTCTCTCAGTGTCTATGACACCACAGTCATCTGGCTTGTCCCTCCCACCTCACTGGGACCTTTCTCAGTGATGTAACTGTGTCCTCAGCATCACTGATCACAATAGCCACATGAGGAATAATCAGCATCCTGCTCCCTCCAGTCCTCTCACTTAAGGTTCTTAGAAGGATTTTTCTCTTCTCTCTACACTCTGCCCCTCCACTAGCTCTTTGATGACCCTAGCTTCAAGTGCCAAGTGTGTGCCATAAGCACAAAATCTCTCTCTCCAGTCCAGACAGCTCCTCTGAGCTCTGTTCTTCTAAATTCAACTATTTCTTGGGAGACTTCAACACACCTCTCTCACCACTGGACAGATCTTCCAAACAAAAGTTGAATAAAGAAACTATAGAACTCAATAATACAATTAATAACCTAGACTTAATTGACATATATAGAATATACCACCCAACATCAAGCAGTTACACTTTTTATCTCTGCTCCTTTATAATGTCTGAGAGTTGCCCTGTGACATAATATATGATCTATTTTTGAGAAGGATCCATGTGCTGCTGAGAAAATAATCAAAGAGGAAAAACAAACCATGTTAAGTAACATAAATAAACAAATATGGCTGGAAGAACAATCCATATCTCAATAATAACCCTAAATGTTAATGGCTTAAACTCACCAATTAAGAGACACAGGCTAGTAGAGTGGATCAAAAAAAAAAGATCCAACTTTGTATTATATGTGAAAGGATAAGAGGCGATATAGGCAAGTCCCCATTGCAAAAGCACCATACTAAGATGATTAGGCATCCCTTACACTCTGAAAGATGCCTTTCCTAATTTGACTATGAGACCTTTGAGGATAATATACCTTTTGTTTTCCTGATTTCTTGAGTAAACTATTTAGCTCATTTATTTCTTCTTTTTGTTTTCTTCTTATTTAGAACTGAAAATAATATAGGATCTCAGTTTTTTTTTGTTTTGATATCATATTATTCTACTACCAATATTTACTTTCTATATATTCTGACATTGCCAGTTTGACTTTCTCCTTGACACAAAAAGATTTTTAAATGATAATTTATAATTTTTGTCTTTTCAATTTCTAAGTGGTTTGGGGGTTTCTTTGTTATGACATGTTGTTTTATTGTTTAAATTTACTATATTGGGGTAAAGAATTATGGCCTATAAAAGTTTTATGTGAGAGACATATAATGCAAGACACAAATGTGAGCCACACAGGTAATTTTAAATATTTCTAGCACTCACATTAAAAAAGATAAAATGAAGCAGGTGAAATTAAATTTAATAATACTTTCATTTCACCCCATATAGGCAAAATATTATTTTTCTGAATATTAAGCCATGTAAAGATATTAATGAGATCTTTTTATATTCCTTATTTTGCACTAATTCTTTGAAATAATGTGTATTTTATACTTGCATCCCATCTCAATTCAAACAAACCACATTTCAAATGCTCACTAGCAAGATGTGAATTGTGCCTACCTTATTGGACAGACAGGTCAAAATTATTGTTCTTTGAAGAAATTATTAGGCTTAAACTATAGTAAAGTTCCATTCTATGAGCGCTTTAAAAATCATTTTTTTTTTGGAGCCGGAGCCAGAGCCACGGCCGAGAGGAGGGAGGAGGAGGAGGAGGTGGTGGAGGAGGCGCCGGACCCGGGGGATTGTCAGTATTTAAACAGACCACATCATGCGTGAGTACAAGCTAGTGGTCCTTGGTTCGGGAGGCGTGGGGAAGTCTGCTCTGACAGTTCAGTTTGTTCAGGGAATTTTTGTTGAAAAATATGACCCGACGATAGAGGATTCCTACAGAAAGCAAGTTGAAGTAGATTGCCAACAGTGTATGCTGGAAATCCTGGACACAGCAGGAACAGAGCAGTTTACAGCGATGAGGGATTTATATATGAAGAATGGCCAAGGATTCGCACTAGTATATTCTATTACAGCTCAGTCCACATTTAATGACTTACAGGACTTGAGGGAACAGATTTTACGGGTTAAGGATACAGAAGATGTTCCAATGATTTTGGTTGGCAATAAATGTGACCTGGAAGATGAGCGAGTAGTTGGCAAAGAACAGGGCCAGAATTTAGCAAGACAGTGGTGTAACTGTGCCTTTTTAGAATCTTCTGCAAAGTCAAAGATCAACGTTAATGAGATATTTTATGACCTGGTCAGACAGATAAATAGAAAAACACCAGTGGAAAAGAAGAAGCCTAAAAAGAAATCATGCCTGCTGCTCTAGACCCAAAGTCAGCAGCAGCTCTGAGCCAGATTACAGGAATGAAGAACTGTTGCCTACTTGGAAAGTGCCAGCATTCCAGACTTCAAAAAATAAATCTGAAGAGGCTTCTCCTGTTTTATATATTATGTGAAGAATTTAGATCTTATGTTGGTTTGCACAAGTTCCCTGAAGAAAAAAAAAAAAATTGCTCTGTGTATATCTCTTGGAAAATAAGACAATAGCATTTCTCCTTTGCAATAGCAGTTATAACAGATGTGAAAATAAATATACTTGACTCTAATACAATTATACAAAAGAGCATGGATGCATTTCAAATGTTAGATATTGCTACTATAATCAAATGATTTCATATTGACCTTTTTATCATGATTCCTCCCTGTTAAGCACTAAAAGTTGAATCATTATACTTTATATCTGTAATGATATAATCAATTATGAAATTTCCCCTCAAACTCATTGCAGCAGATAACTTTTTTGAGTCATTGACTTCATTTTATATTTAAAAAATTATGAGATATCATCTGTCATTATATTCTAATTAAAATTGTTTGTGCATAATGCTTTGGAAAAAATGGGTCTTTTATAGGAAAAACTGGGATAACTGATTTCTATAGCTTTCAAAGCTAAAATATATAATATACTAAACCAACTCTAATATGGCTTCTTGTGTTTTACTGTCAGATTAAATTACAGCTTTTATGGATGATTAAATTTTAGTACATTTTCATTTGGTTTGTGTGTTTTTGTTATTGTTTATAGATTTAAGGACTTTATTTTATAATGACCACATTGTTTTAAATGCGACAGTAGCTCCTTTCTGCCTGGTATCTGCAGAATTCTTGGCTTTAAACTATACTAACTGGTGATTTCTGTAGGAACAGACCTCCTACTTCCTGTTCCAGATAATATTTATTCCTACTATACAGTATAATACATCAGACTACATAGAATAGTTTTGTATATTCTCTCTTGATCTTAAACATTGTATCTTGCTGAATAAAATATCCCACTGTGTATTATTTTTATATGTAAAGAGATAAGTTTAATACTGTATCAGGGTTTAACTTTTACTATTTCAAATCTTCCACAGCTTGTAATTTTATTAAGGATATCCTTTTTGCCATTGTTAATTTGTTGGGTGTGGGTCCACCAATGAAGTGTTATGTAAAAGCTTTCAAACTTGCTTTATAATAGATTAAAGATTTTGAGAGAAGTAAGTGAAAGTTAAAACACATAAAAAGAATGTGTTAATTACTTTTGCTTTGACTATATATGAAGTAGTATAGTAGTAGTAATATGAAAAAGATTACTAAGTTAAAATTTTAGCTGGCTATATAGTGGTGCTTTTCTTTTTCTTCCCAATTATTTCAATTTTTAGAAAAGATGGGGCTTAAGTAGGGCATGGACCCAGGGTGATGTTGCTTATGTGTTCTCCATAAAGAAAGAAAGAAAGCCAACAGCTTGTTAGCCAGTGAAGTACTGGAGAAGGAAAGAAACAAGCTTAGGAAGCCTGTGCCTTGTCCCTGAATATCAAGGAGGAGATCAGTCCTAGAAAGTCTAAATCATTGCTCAGGGATCTAGATACTGTCTCATTGCAACTAGGTGTGAAACAATGTTCATGCCTTGCTGTGATTTTTTTTTCCAGGAGTGTGGTCAGCCCATTAGTTACTGAATTGACATTTAAAAGTCAGCTTTCAAATGTAAGTTCTTTCCAGCCTGAGAAAATGTTAAAAATATTGTTTTTAAAAATTGGAAATTGTATTTTTTGAGTTTCTAATAAACTTAGTTGCCTAATAACAAAAAAAAAATAAATAAATAAAAATAAAAATCATTTTTTGTAGGGTTCGATTTATTCCTGCTAGAAATCTTTTATAAATTGTGTTCATAGCCTCTTTATCTTTATCTTTGTATCCACTGAATCTGCCAAAGTTCCAAAAAGAATAATACATTTTCCTACTGAAATTATGATTCTGTCTCTTTTTTCTTCCTATTTCCTGAAGATTTTGCTTCCTGTACTTCAGTGCTGTGTTCATGAGTGTGTAACCACCTATTCATGGCAGCTGAATCCTCTCGTGTACCACAAGCTCCATCATTACAAAGTGGTCCTTTCTGACTTCTTCCACGACTTTTGCCTGTTGTTTCATATGCAGATATTAATGCTGTGTCCCTCTGCACTTTGGCGGGGTTCTTTGGTCTGTTCACCTCTGCCCAGTCTGATGATTTGAACTTTCCATGTCTCTTCATTTTGAATCTGATCTCTGAATCACTTTAGTGAACTCAGAATGGAATCTGTGAGTGGAGAGACTCTGGCTAAGCAACATCTCTCTTCTACAATCGCAGCATCCATCGAGCCTCTGGGAACCATGGAGCTGCTTAGCGCATTCTCACTGAGTAACCTTCATTTCCTATGCATTTATACCATGCTGGATCCTGAAGATCACCTTCCTACCTATTCTCCTCTCATTTGCAACCCCATCTTTGCTGGTGTTCATCTTATAATGGATTGCACATAAGCTAGGATCAGCTGCCCCAGTACGATAGTCCCACTGTGGACCAATTCAGGAACTTCAGGGCAGGGCAAAACCAACCAATGCCTTGTAAGGTAGGTGGAGATTAGAGGAGGGGATGACTCCTGCTGGGCTGTGCATTGCCTGTTTCAAGTATAGAGGCTTGGCCTTTTATTTATTCAAAAATCATTATTGGTTACACTATACCCCAGGAGTTCTGTTAGCCTTCAAGAGTCCAAAGTTGCCTAAAAATGGACCCCTGCTCCTTAACACTCACAATAGTAGTTCTCACATCTGGCTGGTCATCAATATTGCCTAAAACTGTTTTAAATTATAGATTTCCTGGGTCCACCTCAAGGCGCTGTCAGCTATCCTAACACTGGAATCCAAAAAGCTCTATGCTTTAAAACTCCTCAGTCCCAGATAAAGTCAAGGACACTAAATTTTTAGTAGAACAATCAATTTTTGGCACACTTACCTGTTCTTAAAGTATTTTTGCCTATACAATCTTATTTAATCCTTAAGCAACACACTGAGGAAGAAGGCATTTATGTTCACTTTTAAATATGAAGATTGAGAAGCATAGCGGTTTTCCAAATCCACAATCACTGAGTGACGGAGTTGAGCCTAGAAGACAATCCATCTCTCCAAGGCCTGTACTCTCTGTTCTCTATTTGCCTTTCAAAAGTCAAAGAAATGAGGGTAGTACATGTTATGGTTTCAATATGAGGTGTCCCCCAAAAGCTCATGCGTGAGACAAGGCAAGAAAGCTTACAGGTGGAAAGACTGGGTTATGAGAGCTTTATCCTAATCAGTGAATTAATCCCCTAACTGTGGGCAGGTAGGGTGTGAATGGAGGAGGTGGGTCATTGCGGGTGAGCTTGCCTTTGGGGTATATATTTTGTCTGCAGCTAGGAGCATGCTCTCTCTCTCTCTTTCTTTATTTCCTGGTGCCATGTTCTCAGCTGCTTTTCTCCTCCATACCCTTCCAACATGATGTTCTGTTTCTCCTCCAACCCAGAGCAAGAGCAATGACATCAGAACTGAGATCTCTGAAACCATGAGCCCCAAGTAAACTTGTCCTCCTTAAAATTGTTCTTGCCACGTTTTTTGGTCACAGTGGTTAAAAAAAAACAACAACACCTGACTAAATCAGTCCATAAATAAATTGCAGAGGGGAAAAAATGGGAACTCCTATTGTTAATATGAAAGCTGGGTCAAGATCCTAACAGAGGGCCTGGCAGATAATAGGGGCTTTGTAAATGTTTTTGAATTGAGTGGAATCAAGTCTCCTAGACTTACTACCAATGGACAGAAGTCAAGGCAGAGGAATACTGCAAGTCTCCAAGCCCCTGTTTAATTGTAATTGTGAGCCAGTCTATCAATGCTCCCTAAATGCCAGGCATTATTAATATGCTACCTCACATGTACACACACACACACACACACACGCACACACACACACTGTAATCCACACAGCAACATCATGGACCATGATCAACCCCATTTCCTGGATGAGGAAAGTGAGGGGAGGAAAAGCTAACTAACTTAGTGGATGCACAAAGCTAACCAGTGAAGGAGGCAGTATCTGACCTTGGCTAGAGTCCATGTTTTTAACCATTTCACCATATCGCCATTCTGCGCCCTACTGGATTTCCAGATTTTAGTCATTTCTGTGGCTAGAACTAAGTTATGACAATTTTATTCTTATTTGTATTTTGGTTGCCCCATATTCTGCACAGTCCCGGAGTCATTACTCAGTTAGGAAAATCATACCTTGCCACATCCCCTTGGCATGATTCCTGCACACGTTAGGCTATTTCACGAACTTGACCAGCAGCCCACCTAATGTGTCTCTGCTTTCCTGCTTCAAGGACTTCCCCAGGACCATGCAAACTCCAGTGCAAGTGGTACAGCCCAAAAGCATTTGTGCCCCCAGAGCCCCCACCCTCACCAAGAGGAGCACAGGAGTTAATGGACAGGTGCTCCAACCTCATGGTCCTTCCATGGGACAATTCAGACGTACACTCTCCAGGATTCTCCACCTCAGCACCATTGACAATGGGTCAGCTAATTTTACACTGGGATCAGGGAGGCTGACCTGTATCTGGCTGCTGATAGCGTCTCCTAGTTTTAACAACCAAAATGGCTGCGCATATTGCTAAATGCTGCCTAGAAGAAACGTTAGTCCTGGATGAGAGGCCCTGACCTATATGGACTGACAGAGGTCCTCAAAGGGATAGTGACCAATTCAAAAGCATATCTTTTATTGACTTTTCTCCCTTCCTACTCTCCTACTCCTTGTGGTCACCTCTCAAATAAATACCTCATCCAAGTTCTCCTCATCTGAGCTTTTCTTTCAGAGAGTCTAATCTCAGGTGTGAGAGCAAGTAGCCTTTGGAGAGATGCCAATGACCTCCGGCAAGTGACGGAAGGACTTACATGTGGTTCTGTCTGAGGACCTCGGGCAGATCCTCACAGTCCACTGGAGACCACTGGAGACCTACGAGCCTGTAGATTGGATGCTAATCTCGTGCAAGAGGAAACTTGCTTGAGAGTTCTCGCATTCTGATGGGTGGTGAGTTGCGCCACCCAACACAAATGGAAGCCATCGAGGATTATATGTGCATTTGCCTCAGGTCAAGGGCCATGACTCACAACTTGTTTTTTACTTATCTGACCCAGAATCCCTGAGTGTGAGGTCTGACGGTATATATTAGGAGTGTTTTGTTTAGCACAATACCCTTAGGTAGTCCTGTTTCTGGGACTGCACACCCATCCTCACCTGCTCGTGCACAGGTGCAGAACTGATGATCAAGCAGCCCAAACCAGGGCCCATGGAGAAGAACCAAGACCAGGCCCTGAGCCCTGATTTCCAGGCCTGATACCTGGCACCTGTGTGGCAACTCCAAATTCCTCACGTCACTGCCCAACTCCAAAGGCCTCAGTCCCTAGGAAAGGCCTCAGTCTTGCCTGCCCTGGGAAACTACCCTCAGTAGGACCTGAATGTTCTGTGATTGACCTCAATGGTTTGCACAAAACATTCTTGCTCAGGAAATCTAGGTCCTAAAGCATATTTTTTGGAGTGATTTATCCCTAGTTACAACACCTAAAAGAAGGAAATGGATCTCAGAGAATAATTCACAAGCCTAAGACTACCCAACCCAGCAGGGAGCTGAACAGCACCTCTATAATCATTGAAGTATTGATCACCATGGCC